TCTTTCCCTGTGGTGGCAGTAATGAGGAAGGCCTTTTAATCAAGCTGCTATGGAAATAGGTTAAAGCTCAAAGATCCCTTGGACGCCAGGTAGTTTTAAATTGCCGACAGTATTGGCTCAGAGTAAATACGATGGAGAGATTTATTTGAGTGAGGAGTAAAGGAAGTTATATTATTAAGAACCTTTAAGCATAAACCTAAACAAAAAAATTGCCTTAGAAAAGGTATTTTTTTAGATACATGGGTTTCCCTAATGTACTTATTTTTTCATTCACCAAATTCTTTTACCTCTTGAACTGGGAGTAGGATGTTAAGATATTTAAATAAATTGTTGTGCGGCTGATGTTGTCTGACTCCTTTCCTTTCTTTCTTATCTTGCCTTAACTTTCCCATTATATCACCTGTGCATCAAGCAACGTAAAGATAACTATACTGTCCGATTTACCGGTAGATGTTAACTGACTGTTTTCTATGTTCCAGGGACCATGTTCTACTGTTTTATTTCTTGTATTATAAAATTGACTGGGTAGTTGTGATTTACTCCATTGGTATTTTTTTTTTCAGAAATATTTATACTGATGACTACATAAAGATCTGACCGATGAAGAAAGACTGTTCTTGACAGATGGGTCCTAGGACTTATTTGCTAGCCTGGTTTTTCTTTGCACTTTCTTATCAGTTACTCTGAATATTTTTGTTCATGTCATTGTAGCCACTTCCTGAGAAGTTTGTGGTGAAAGGTGTTGTGGATCGTTTTTCAGAAGAGTTTGTGGAGACCAGAAGAAAAGCTTTGGATAAATTCCTGAAAAGAATTACGGATCATCCTGTACTTTCTTTCAATGAACACTTTAATGTTTTCCTTACTGCTAAGGTAAGGCAGAATTTTTCATGTTCCTCTCCCAGCTTAGCATTCTTTGGGCTCTTTCTTAAAAGCTGTTTTGATCTCTCACAAGCCACCCCTGTAGTGGGTGTCATAGAATTGCTCTGGGTTTGTTTTTTTTGTTTTTGTTTCTGGTGCTCATCGGCCCTGGCACGGTTTCCATGTTAGAATTTAGGAGAAATATCCCCCTGCAGCAGTCAAGGAAGTTAGAATAGTTCCACTTACCCAAAGCAGGGATAAGTGTTCCCCTACACACTTACCGGCGATATTACTGGGTGAGGCCGTTCTGACCAACGGTGGGCATGAAAGGGAAAGAATGTTTATTGAGTGTTTGGTAAGGACATATTTCATAGGAACCCTGGGAGTATTTGCTTATAGCCTCATTTCACAGGCAAGGAAACTAAAGTTCAGGGCGTGTGTACTAGTTCAGCTGGCATCACTAGGATGTGAAATAAGGTCACTGTGGCTCCTGAGGCTACAGTTTCCACAGACTGCCTGACCAAGAGTAGTTCAGCATTACTTGCCCACAGCCAAGTTCCTAGCCGGTGGGCATTTTCCAAGCACTTGCCAGGGAAGTAGTTGGGGCTTACACAGCTGCCAGATTCTGTGTATTCAAACTCAAGCTGGCGCCCCCAACTTTTCTCTGAACTTCCCTGTTGGCAGAACTGACCGGCAGCCTGAGGTGTTTGACTCTGATTGTCTGCAGATATGGGAGCTCGTCGTGTTCAGACTCTTGTGCCAGCTTCCCTCCAGCCCCATCTGTTTATTTTCATGTATCCTATTCTCACATTCAGGCCATAGGTAATTCATTCCATGTTGGCAAGGGTATTAAGGCCCAGGTACTTTTCAGTTTTCTTTTTCAAAATGGCAAAATGGAGAAATATTTACAGACAACGTCAGTTGCCGTAAAGACGTTGGAGGGGATGCCATTCTCCGGACATAAGAGCCACCTGGCAAAGTCCTCCAGTGTTGTGGGTTTTCTTTTTTACTTTTTCCTGGACCTCAGTTGGCACTTAGCCTCCTTGATGACATTCCTGTTTCTCTTCTTTTTTTCCTGGAAACCTTTCCCACACAGGTCAAACTTGTGTTCTTTTTAAAAATAAGTATTTCCTGGTGAACTGCTCTTCGGACATAGTTCTTCCAGTGACTACACAAAGTAAAATCCACTCTGTTCTCCAAAAGTGCAGCTCACTGTTTCACCCAGATTAGTGGTTCGTTGTCCAGGCAGGCCCTCAAGTTTCGTCATTTTTATTGAATAAAGAGACAAAGGAGGAGAAAGCTTGGACCCCCGGTCATTAGGAATTTGTGTAAAGAATAAGTAGGAAAAGTGGTGTGTTTTTTTTTTTTTTGGTATATGTGGTGTTCTTCTGTGGACCAAGCAATATGAACTGATTTTATTTTTAATTTGCTCAATTTTGTTACTGAAGTATAACATACATAGAGAAAAATATACAAATCACAGCTCAATAAATGATCACAAAATGAACATACCTTTATAATCACTACCCAATCAAGACAGAAAATCCCCAGCACACACTGGAAGCCTCTCTCATCTCTGCTCCCAATCAGTACCACCCCTCTCCTTCCCAGGGTAAACAGTATCCTGATTTCTGTCATCAGAGATAACTGATTTTTTTTTTTTAAAGCCCTTCAAAGTCTTAATCAAAATCTAACTTGATGTGAGTGCGTACGGGGGAGTTGGCTTGTTTAAAAAGAACAGCCTCCTGCCTTAGTTCAGTTTTGTTTGCTGAAGCAAATGCACTAAATAACCTCATCTTTTATTTCTTTTTAATTGTGGGAAAATACACATGACATAAAATTTACCATCTTAACCATTTTACAGTGTGCAGTTGGGAAATGTTAAGTATATTCACCCTGTCGTACATCTAATCTCCAGAACTTTTTCATCCTGCAAAACTGAAACTTTGTACCCACTAAACAATAACTCCCCATCTCACCCACCCCGTACCCCCATCTTTTCTCTTAAAACGCTTTGAATGACTTGGTCCTGTCCTTAGATAGGCCACTGACATGCTCTGCCACAGTGAATGCAGAAGTTTTCCTCTTCCTTGTGATGACATGATCTTACCACAAATTAGAAGCGTCCTTAAGAAGAAACCACTGATGGTGGGGGAGGTGGAGGATGCTTAGTATCATCTGTGTTCAAATCAGTGTTTTCATTGTTGGCAGAATGGGTGCAGCAGTCAGATAGGTAGGACTAAATAACTGTACTCAACACGTTAATGAACTTGGTTAACTGGGGATTCTTTGTAAAGTGCTACTTGAAGTAGAGTTTATGCAGTCCAGTGAGTCCATTTGGATCGAACCCTGATCCAAAAAAACATTGTCTGTGGAGCAATTCCTAGAACTCCAGGGCTTCAGTTACGGTCTTGTGAAAGCCTGGTGCCTACAGGGATGCTTTTATCTAGAGTGTATGAGGTTAGAAGGGGAGATAAGATCATTATTTTATTAAAAATTTTTTTCTTTGGCTGTGGCATGCAGGATCTTAGCTCCCCAACCAGGGATCGAACCCTCGCCCCCTGCAGTGGAATCGCAGCATCCTAACCACTGGACCGCCAGGAATTCCCCGAGATGGGATCTTTAGAACATTGTCTCAGGCAGGTGGCATAGAAAGGAAGGACAGAGATGGAGGAGGGAGCTTAGAGGAGGTTGCTGCCATTTTGAAGATTGGTGAGCTTCGCATATATTTCACATGCTGAAGGATTAGAAGTTGAAATTATAGACAGGAGAGAAGGGATGGTTGAGGGGGCAAGGGCCTTGGCTGGTGGGGGAAGTGTGGACAGGAGAGGGCAGAATCAAGAGCAGAAGTGAAGGCCTTGGCTGCATGGAGGAGGAGGAGGACGTGAAATCAGGAGGGATCTACATTTCAGGCACTTTTGGAGACCTGAGCCTGGGATGGTGTGTCACGTGGGAAGGGGCTGTCAGACAGCTGTGTTAACCTCTGCTCTATCCCTACATCAGGCGAGGTCACCAGAAAGCAGTGGCCTTGTGCCGTGTTCCCTTCTCTCCCTGTAGACCTGTCCCTCTAGGACTGGGAATTAACATTCTGTTAGTATCGAGGGTAGACATAAGGAACAGACACCTGCATCTTCTGTAAAACCACTTTTGAAGGCACCATTAAAGTAAGTGACATAGAACAACGGGAGGATACTGAAGATTCCCCTTAGAGCTTAATGATAGGAAGAAATTTATTTTACCTGGCAGACTAATATGCTTTTTAGGTTTCAGTTCAGTGGATTATGCAGCTGAACGTATTTCCCATTTATGCCTCAACCAAGAAATCCAGGGTAAAATGTTTTGTCATTTGCAGCATCTATCCTTGGCCTGGGTTTCGTAGCACCACCTTTCCTGTCACTGTCTCCTGCTTCCCACCCTCCACTTCCCTTATATGGCTTTGGTTAGGATATAAATAAATGAATGGAATGAATCTTAGCTCTTGAATTTTGCTCCTAAAGACAGTTTAGGATATTTTGTATAGGACAAAGGGACACTTTTTAAAAAACTTGTATTTAAACAGTTGTGTTTAAAGGAAGGTGTGCTGGGTGAGTGAACCTGATTGGGAAGGTAGGAGTCCAGCTCTGTATAAAGAGACCTGGGCGTAAAGGTGCAGGAGTATGAGTGTGGTGGCTGTGATGGCTGTGATGGCAAAGAGAGGAGGTGTGTGTGTGTGTGTGTGTGTGTGTGTGTGTGTGGTGAGCGCCTTAACCTAATTCACCTCCTTATTTTCTGAGTCTTCCATTTCCAAAAGGAAACTGCCTAAACGAGTTGGCTTACTGAGTCCTGGCCATGTGAGCAGTTGAGCCCTTTGAGTTTGTTTGTTCACATGTCATCCTTAGGACCTGAATGCCCATAAGAAGCAAGGGATGGCGTTGCTGACTCGAGTGGGTGAGTCGGTCAAGCATGTCACTGGCGGCTACAAGCTGAGGAGTCGGCCTCTCGAGTTTGCAGCCATAGGCGAGTACTTAGACACATTTGCGCTCAAGCTGGGAACCATTGATCGAATAGCCCAGCGGATCATCAAGGAAGAAATAGGTGAGCTCTCTGTTGAGTTCTTCATCAGGCCCAGGGACCACGTTTGCAGAAATGGCATTCATTGCGCCAAGCAGAATCAAAATGCAGAAATGCTGGAGCAGCAGAACCAGGCCACATTTTGCTCATAAAACTAATAAATAAATACAAGAAGCAGGGGAGGTGGTTGTGACCAGAGTATAATTTTGCACCCCGTCCCTTGCCCTGCATTTCATCCTTGTGTTTGCTTTCCCCATAGCAAACAACCACTCTGAGCCTCTAGGCTTTTCCACTTTTCTCTCGCTCAACTTCCCTTCATCCATAGCAATGATCATTAAAAAATAAACTTAAGTATCTTTTCTGGCAGAAAGATGGTTCAAAATGAGAGCAGTGTTTGCCAAAGTTACGATCCTAATGAGCCTTCAGGCTTGAAATTGACTCACCTGCCTACCCTTGCTTCATTTCAAACCCACTCTTCTTGACCCAGGGAGTTATGAGGCCTTTGTGGTTGCCACCACTTCCTCCCCACCCCTCTCATGGCCACTTGCTTTTTTGTGTCCCAGAATGTTGGGGCCCTTTGTTTTCTTACACGTGTGTAGGCCAAATAGACCTGAACAGTGTTAATGATCATGCTGGCATGTGATGTGAAACACATAGAGATGGATTCTCTGGTAGTTGCCATCCATTAGTTGCTAAAAAATGACAACAACATTTTGTTGTAATGGCAAGAATCCTGGTGACAAATGATAGGCCATGTTTTTTTGTGGGGGAAATCAAACAACATTTTTCCTTGTTCCCTGTGCTTTAATTCTCCTTTACCTGCTGCTGGTATCCTGTAGGGCCTGCAGGTTTTGGAAATGGCTTTAGGTACTATCTACACCTAAAGATCATGTGGGGTAAATTCTGATGGGACCCAGGTGTTGGGGTGACCCCTGAGTGAGAGAGGTGAGTCTGCTTAGGTAAGACCACATTTCTTGTATCGACTGTTTCCTAAAATTCCATTATTTTTCCATTGTGACTGATTTTTTTTTAATTTTTAAAAACACCCCCCTAAACCTATATGAAACTCTGCCTCCATTGCCTGTTAAAATATGGCTTCACTGTAGGGGTAGGTGAGTAGGTTTCTAGAAAGATATTTGGTGGATGTAGCTCCCACCACTTTCCCCCAAAGGCATTGTGGTCCCCATTATCCAGAGGCATGACATTCCTATTATGGAGTAGAGTTGATTGATGTTATAGTGTTAGCTGTAATATCAGCTTTTGGAGATTTAAAAAATTGGTTATAAACAGTGTTGTGTTTAAAGGAAAGCATACTCAGAGAGCTCTTGGCTGCATTGGTTATTAAGTCAGTAATACCAGTGATTGCTACCCATCCGATCTTAATTTATTTCTCTTCCCCCTTTAGAGTACCTTGTAGAGCTGAGAGAATATGGGCCTGTGTACTCCACATGGAGTGCGTTAGAGGGGGAGCTGGCTGAGCCCCTGGAGGGTGTGTCAGCCTGCATCGGCAACTGCTCTACAGCCTTGGAAGAGCTGACAGAGGACATGACAGAAGACTTTCTACCTGTGCTCAGGGAATATATTTTATACTCTGACTCCATGAAGGTAAGCTGACTCACTTCTTGTGCACTTAGGTACTTTCTTGGTTGTAGTCATTAATCAAAAAGTAATTGATTATTGCCTATTTGCATGTGGTACAGATTTCCTTCTTCCTGGGTGGGCAGGATCAGACATGTGGACTGACCTCATGGACGTGTAAAAAGAACACATGGTGAACCAAGTGTGTGAATTAAATGAAAGAGATTTCATTCTTCATTGGAAGAGATTCTTATTAGTGTTCTCTGAGAGTTTGAGAATAGCATCTGCTGATTAAGAACAGTATGTTGTGGAAAAAGAACAATTGGATAATCAGAGCTCTTGGAGGTTAAAATATGATTGCTGAAATAGAATTGAAAAGTAAAGTTGGAAGATGAGGCTGAGGAAATCTTGGAAAGTAAAACAAATTTTAAAAGTAGTTGGAGGGCTTCCCTGGTGGCGCAGTGGTTGGGAGTCTGCCTGCCGATGTGGGGGACATGGGATCGTGCCCCGGTCTGGGAGGATCCTGCATGCCGTGGGGTGGCTGGGCCCGTGAGCCATGGCCGCTGGGCCTGCGCGTCCGGAGCCTGTGCTCCGCGGTGGGAGAGGCCACAACAGTG